CAGCGACAGCCCCTGCGCTGCGCGGGTGCAAGGCCAGCACCCCGCCCCCCGAGCCTGGCGGCGCTTGCCCGGTGGGGGCCTCAGACCCCCCGGCGGGTGGGCCCGAGCGAGGGCGCAGGCGGCTCGCCCGCACGCGTTCCCCCTCACTTGCGGGAGCCCCGGTCCCTCCGCCGCCCCCCGGGCACCGTCTGGCGGAGGGGAGCTGCGGAAAGGGCCCCCGCGAGAGGCCGAAGGCTCGGTGAAGGGTGGAGGTCGCCCTGCCCAAGAGCATGGAGGCGCCCGGGGCCCCGGGACATGCGACGGGAGGCGCTCCCGGGGCCCGTTCCGAGCCCTGCTCCTTTCTCCTGCTGCAGGCCCAAGCGCGGGGGGCGCCCAGCCGGCCGTTCGTGCTCCCTGCCCGGCATGTAGGCGCCCGCCGGGCCTGCCTCGCCTCTCGCTCCGGCCCCGGACAGGTGAGGCCCTGGCGTGGCGGGCTGGCCGCGGGTGGGATGGGGGGCTCGGGCCCTGACAGTCCTGTGCGCGAGTCATGGCCCACCTCCCTTGAAGCCTAGCCCGCATGAGGGGGACGCCTCCTCTCCTGGGCCCCCGAAGCGCGGCTGCTGAGTGCGCAGAGTGGCTTTCCTTGTGGCTGAGCAAGCAGAGCCGCCTGCCCGTGGTGGGGCCAGGTGCCCGGAGCAGGGCCCCTGCGTGGGGGGGGGGGTGTCTGGCGGGCTGAGCCTCCCTGCCATGACCGGCGCTCTGCATCCTGTCTCTGGGCCAGGGCTGCCTCCCGCCTGAGCCGGACCGCCGGCACCATGTCGGGCGCCCTGAGCAAGAGGAGCGACTTGGCCAATGACAACAGCTGCCTGGGGCTGAGCCTGGCCCTGGTGGGGCCCCCGGGCGGCCCAGTCCTGCCGCACAAGGGCCACTGCAACACCTACCGCTGCGTGGAGCTGCAGGGCATCCTGGGCCTGGAGGAGCCCTCCAACACCAAGTGGGTGAAGGATGGGCAGAACCAGCTGCGGCAGGCGGCAGAGCGCGGCCGCGACCAGAACCGCAACGAGCTGAGCCCCCCCACCAAGGAGCTGAGCGCCTTGCTCATCCCGCTGGAGCCCAAGGACGGTGCCGAAAAGCGGGAGGAGGAGGAGGAGGAGGACAGCGACGAGGAGGGCGAGGATGAGGAGGGCTCCACGCCCGTCCAGAGCGAGCCCGCCACGGAGTCCGAGCAGAGTTCCGAGCGGGCCGTGTCCCGCGGGGACCAGGCCCGCAGCGCCAGCCTCCTCTTCGGCACGCGCACCAGCGGCACCAGTGACGAGGACTCCAGCTGGGCCACCCTCAGCCAGGGCAGTCCGGCCGGCAGCTCCCCCGACGAAGCAGGTGGGGCCAGTCACCAGGCGCCGTCTCCCAGGGCGGGAAGGGCTCGGGCTCTGTTCGGGGCCCCAGCGCAGGCAGGGCGGGGGTGTTTCTCCCCACTGCAGCGTGGGCGGCACTGGGGGGCGCGCTGGCTGAGGCCCTGCCAATGGCTCCTCATGCCATTTTGCCCCCCCCCGTCTCTTGGGCGGCTGGGTGGCCTAGGTGGCCCCTCGGGCTCTTCCAGTGCAGCTCTTCCAGAGTTGTGCAATTCTCCTTCTCGTGCGCACGAAGGAGCGAGAGAGCGAGAGGCCCCTCCCCCTTCCCCCAGGAGCCCTGCTGGGCTGCCTGGGCTTGCGAGGGCTCCTTGGCTACGGGTCCCCCTTGGCAACGGATGCCAGCCGGTGCCTGGGGGCCCCCCGGGACAGGGAGGCGGGCCTGGAGCCGCAGCAGGAGGCGGAACAAGCCCCCCTCCAGGGAGAAGCAGCTGCCTCTTTTTGCCCCCCCCCCCAAAGCCCCCAGCAGGGGCCCGGTTGCTTCTGGCTGGCCCAGGGGAGGCTCTTGCCTTGCCTGCCCGTTGCCTCCTGGGGGACCCACCGCAAGGCAAAGGGGGCATTCGTGGCTGGGTGGGCCCCAGCTCTGGCGAGAGGTGCGCAGGTGGCCGAGTCCTGTTCATTTGAGGGGAGAGCTGCTTGGGGAGGGGTGGGGGGGGAGGGGGAATCTGATCCTGCAGCCAGCCAGGGCCGGAGCCACTGGAGGCGGCTAGAGCGCTGGGCTGCTGGAGGGGCGAGGGGCGGCAGAGTGGGTCCGTTGGCCCGGTGGGGGCGAGGTGTGGTGGGCTGGACTGCGCTCCCCCAGCGCTGTGCCTGGCCTGCCCCGTCTCCGTCGGCTGCCGAGCCCCAGTCACAGGGTTGCCCGCAGGAGTGCCGCTCACCCGCCTGCCTCCCGCAGATTCCTTCTGGCTGTGCAACTCCCTGGAGACGAGCTCCGATCTCCCAGCAGGGTGGATGCGGGTTCAGGACACCTCTGGCACCTACTACTGGCACATCCCAACTGGCACCACACAGTGGGAGCCCCCCTTGGGGACCGGGACTGGCGACTCCACAGGGAATACCCCCTCCAAGGAGGCACAGGTGAGCGGAAGGCTGGGCCCCCGCCTGCCAGGGGGCCTGGCTTGGGCCTCCACCCCGTGGGCGGCCCTCGCAGGCTGTGGGGGCGCCACTGGGGAGGGAACGGCTCCTGGGTGTTCGCTCAGGCAGTGGCCCTGTTCAGCTGGTCCCCAGCCCTCTGGCGGGACCTGCGTGGACCCCCGCCCCCCCGCTGCCCTGGTAGCACTGCCCCCTTTCTCTGCGCTTTCAGCGTTCCCCCGTCGGGAGCTGGCCCTGCCCTTGGGATTGCGGGGGGCGGGCAGAGTCCTGGGGTGTCTTCATCCAATGCAGGAGCAGGAGCATCACTAATATGCAAAAGCAGTGTGTGGCGGGGGGGGGAACTTCACAGTTCTTTATCCCCCCCCCCCCCGCACCTTCATAGTTCACCTGGATGGAGCTTGGGCCTGCCGACCAGGAGTGCTCGGTGGATGCCGATTGCTGGAAGGTCAGTGGCTGGACTGGGGCCGCAGGGGGGTGGTTTGGCCTGGTCTGCCAGATTGGTGGGGAGGGGGCTCTGCCAGGCCTCCTCCCTGATCAGTCCCCCTTTCTACTGTGCCTCAGGAGGTGCCGTCCACAGAGGCGACCCCCGAGCCCCCGCTGGAGGAGGGGCAGCCCAGCTTGCCGACGGGCCCCCCTGCGGCTTGGTGAGTGGGAGCAGGGACTGGGCCCCGCGGTTGGGAAAAGGCCACGGGGGGGGGGGCTCCCCTGGCTGGCGTGGGCTTCTGTGGGCCGTGCCCGTGGCCAGGGCGCAAAGCACCCCGAGTGGTCGGAGAGGCTTCCTGGGCCAGCCACCCACTGCCTGTTCTCGCCTTTCCCAGCTCGCCCGTGGGAGGGGAGCGCGAGGAGGAAGCCCAGTTCCCGGACCTCCCGCCCGGCTCCAAGGTAATCTCACCTGGGCGAGCGGCAGGGCGGGACACGCCAGGCAGGGTGGCCGCCTGGGCTGGGACGGTGCGGGGGCCCGGCCAGGTGGCTCCTCCCAGGATCCAGGGTGGGGGGCGTGGCTCACCCTCTCCCACCGTGACTGCCCACAGGCCTCTGTGCCCCCCTCTGGCTGTGGAAGGAAATTGGGTTGGGCTCAGCGGAGGGGCTGGGGAGGTAGCCCTTCGCGGCCCCTGGCCAGTGCGGCCCATGGTCCCTGGGACTGGGGGGGGCTGAGCATCGCGCCCCATCGCTGCCCCTGCCGAGAGCCCTGCCCTCCTCTGCCCCCAGTGCTTCCGGGTGCGCTCCCTGGGCTGGGTGGAGATGTCGGAGGAGGAGCTCGCGCTGGGCCGGAGTAGTGCCGCCGTCAACAGCTGCATCCGGCAGCTCTCGGGCCGGGATGTGGATGCCCATGGAGCCTGGCCAGAGGTGAGCCGGGGAGCGGGATGAGCCCTGGGGGCCGGGGCCGAGCCTCGGGGGCCCCCGCAGTGCGCAGCAGGCACTGGAGTGCTGCGGAGGGGCATGGGGGAGGCCCCTGAGACCCTCTCCCGCCGCAGGGCAAGGCCATGCTCCTGGTCCTGGAGAAGGAGGCACTGAAGCTCTTGCACCCCGAGGAGGGGACCGTGCTGCACGCGCAGCCCATCGCCACGATCCGTGTCTGGGGCGTCGGGCGGGACAGCGGCAGGTACGCCCTGCTTGTGGCCGGAGGAGCAGCCTGGGCAGCCGGGCGGGGAGGCTGGCTGCCAGGCGTCTGGCAGAAGGGTGCCGGGGCTCTCAGGCAGGGGCGGTGGGGGGGAGATGTGGAGGCCGTGGGAGGGAGAGGTACGGGGGGGTCTCGTGCGGCACCCTCCCCTCCCAGTTCCGGGCTGGAGGGCCACAGGCCGGGCATGTGGTGGGCACCTTTCCGCTGCTGGACGGCAAGCCTCTTGGCTGGGGCGGGCAGGCCAGTGGGACTGGAGCCCCGGGAGCGCCACTGGCCAAGACTGGCCCGTGAGGGGCCCCTTTTGGGCGCTGCTGGAGGGGGTGGCCATGGCCCGGGGGCTTGTTGCCTGCTTTGGGAAGCGGGAAGGCCCTGCCACGGTGCTGGAAATGAGATGCCGACAGTCTGGGGCAGCGGGGATGGTCGGGCCAGTCTCCATGGGGTCCTGCCCTTGGACCCCCGGCCTGCCTACAGCGCTCTTTCGGGAGCTCCCTGGGGCAGTGTGTGTGCGGGGGGGAGCAGGGGGGCGGCAGGGGCCTGGGAACGTCCATCACGAGGGAACGGGGGGCCTCTTCTCCCGATGCCCTGCCAGAGCCCGCCTTATGGGGGCTTTGGCCACTGCAACCCCGCCGGGAGGTCAGCCTGTGGGTGGGAGGCGTCTCTGGGCGCCTCGTGGCTCGGTCTGGGGGGCAGCGTGGCCTGTTTGCTGGGGCAGGGATCTCTGGCCCCGAGGGCTGCCCTGGGTCCGGAGGCGACACTGGAACGTCTTCCTGGATCTCTTGGGCCACGGCTTGGGTGGGGGTGCTGGGGTGGCTCAGCCCCGGGGGGGTTGTGCTGCCCCCCACCTCCCTCTAACCTCTGGAACTCTCTTCTCTCCCCGCACGCGGCACTCCGGGCTCAGGGAGAGGTAGGTTGCCGGGCCGGCGGGCGCTGCGCCTCCCCCGCCACAGGGGCTTCCCGGTCCTCCCCACCCCCGCTGCAACCTGCCGCAAGGGGCCGGAAGCGCCCCCAGGCTCCCCGGCAAGGCCATGCACAGCCTCTTGGGCATCCCTACCTTTGGGGGCTGCGGCTTCCGCTGGGGTGCACTCCCCCCGGCCACCGCGGCCGGCAGAGCTCCGTGCCTGCTTGCCAGCCAGCCTGTCTCCCGCAGGGACTTCGCCTACGTGGCCCGGGACCAGCTGGCCCAGATGCTGAAGTGCCACGTCTTCCGCTGCGATGCGCCCGCCAAGAACATCGCCACGGGCCTCCGCGAGATCTGCTCCACGGTGCGGCTCGGCCCCTGGCCCCCGGCCCCCCACCCCGGCCCCCGCCGCAGCAGCCCTACCCTGCCCTGCCCTGCCCTGCCCGCTCGGCTGCGTGGGCTCGGCCTGAGGGGCTCGGCCTGAGTGGGGACTCCGGCTGTGTGTGCCGCTGGAGTGGTGCCGAGCCCCCCACCATGCTTGGGATGCGCAGGGGCGGCTTCCTTGCGGGGGCCGTGGTCGGGGCAGCATCTGAGGACGAACACCAAGCGGCCTGGGGAAGAGGGGCAGCACGGCGTGGGCCCCTGGCTCAGCTTTCTGGGCTGGTTTCTGGCTTCGAGGCTGCAGAGGCGCCTGCGGGCCCGTGTCGCCACGCTCTTTACGCACTCACGCCAGTCGTTTGCAGGGCGCCGTCTCATGGTGGCCTCTGTACATGCCCAGAGGCACTGCTGTCTTGGCACATGCTTGCGTCGTGCCCCTTGAGGTGCCCTCCTTCGGCTGCCGGTTGCCGGTCCGCTCAGCATCCCTGGGGCCTGCCCCTCGCCGGCCCCGCCTCCAGCCACCCCCCAGCCTGGCCGTGTGCCCGCGTGGTGCTCCTTCCCAGGCCCCCACCATAATGCTGCCACGAGGAGGGGCTGGGGCGGCTTTCTGCCACGGGGGGCGTGCATCGCCACCGGGGCTCCCTTAGCGGAAGGGCCCCGGTCCCTGATCAGTCCTCTGCACTCCTCCAGATCGTGACCGAGCGGCGGATCGCGCAGGCTCCCCTGCATGGGCACCTGCTGGATCACTCCAAGCTGGTGGACGTCCCCTTCCAAGGTAGCTGGCTGGGCCGGCCGGCGGGGCCCCCTCCCGTGGGGTGGCAGCACCCACTTCTTGCCCACGGCCGGCTCTGCCTCCTGGCACCTCTGGGGCAGCTTAGGGGGCACAGCAGATAGGATGGGTTGTGCCCCTAAAGGTTTGTAATTGGGGGGGGTGTTGGCAGCTGCCAACTGACACCCCCCACCCCACCCCCGTGCAGCCCAGGCCGCTCACTGCGCACTCTCCTTGCCTCCAGTGGAGTTTCCAGCCCCGAAAAGCGAGCTGGCCCAGAAGTTCCCGGTCTTCTACTTGGGGAGCATCTCTGTGGCGAAGCCCGTGGGTAAGATGGGCTGCGATGGAGCTGGGGAGGCCATGGGGGGGTGGTTTACAGGGCTGGGGGGCTGGGGTGAAGAGCCGCTTGCATGGGGAGGCGGAGGGAGCCTGGCCCCGGAGAGCCTGGGTTGAGGGGGCGGCAAAGGCACCCCTCTGCGGCTCCCAGGTGGCCTCCTGCCCGGCTCCCCTCCAGCAGCCACCGGGCGCTCCGGCCATGTGCGGGGGGGACGGACTGTTTTTGTGCCCCCATGGCCAGCCAGGCAAAGCAGTTTTGCCCACCTCCCCAGGAGGCATTGCCAGCCCCACACCCCCTCCTGCCAGGAGGACGGAGGCTTCCAGCCCCCCCCCCCCGGGGGGCGGGCCCCCCCCCGGGGCCCCCCCCCCCCCCCCAGGCAGGGCAGTGTCCTCGCCACGCAGTCCAGGCCGAAGGGTTGTGGCGGGAGAAGAAGTGGACGCCAGTGCCTGGTACAGAGAAGCTGAGAGATAAGTGGGGCTTGTAAATAGAACGAAGCACCCGGCCCCCTCGGTAACCCCGGCCAGACCCCAAGGCTCTCTTGGGCAGGGCAGGTGGGGCAGGATGCGGCCCGCCTGGGCTCCTGGCTCAGGCCCGTCGTGCCCCAGGGACATTGGCTTCCCATGCCGGCTTTGGCGGAGGGAAGGCCAGGGGCCTTCACCCGCCGGGGTCTGTGGCCAGGCATCCCCGCCGGCCCACAGGCGCTCCTCTGCGAGGGCGCCAGCAGCTGCGGGGGGCTCTGTGGCTGCCCATCCTCGCGGCCTGCAAGCCTTGCTTCTGGGTGGCTGCTTGGGCTTCCAGCAGTCTTGAAGGGTGAGGTTTTCCGTGGCTGCTAGCCAGTGGCTGCATGCCACGTCAGGCTCAGAGGCTCGGAGACTTGGGGCCCCGTGAGCTTTTCGGGGACCTGGACTCGCGTCTTTGACTTGCTTTGTCCCCGAGCGGCTTCCTTGCAGGAAGCGGTCCGGAGTCCGCGGGGGCTGAGTGGAGCCGCGGAGGGCACGGCCTTCGGGGACTTCCGTTCATCTGGCTGCTGCGAGTCGGATGATGGGATGGCACCGAACGAGAGAAACGGGCCCCCCGGGGGAGTGCCATCTCACAGCGGGCGGGCCGAGGGGCAGTGGGCCAGCTGCGCGCGGCGCCTCCACCCCCCGAGCCACCACCCTCGAGATCACCGCCTTCCATGTGCAGGGCCCCCCCTCCTGGCTTGGCCTTCTCCCCTGAGCCTCCCGCTCACTTCAGCCATGATGCTGCAGCCTCAGGGACACTGCTTGGGCCGCTGCAGCGGCTTGTGCCAGGGAGGTGGGGGGCTCTCCCACACTGGGGCGTTCAGCCTGCGGCTGGGCAGCCACCCGCAGGTCCCCGCAACCGGGAGCCCTGCACCGCGCAGGGACGGCCCCGACAGCCTCGTGGTCCCTTCCAGCACGGCTGCTGTGATTAGATTCTACATGCCACCGTTCAGAGCCACCGTTTCCCATGTTCTACATGCTGGTACACGGAGGTGGTGCTGGGCCTCCCCAGTTTCCCTGCTGCCTGCAGGCTCTGCCTCCTCGGTCGTCTTCTTGTCCCCAGTACTTGGCTCGGTGCTTTGCTCTGGGTAGGAGAGGTGAGCAATTAACAAAAGTCCATTTGCTTCACAATTCGATACGAACTCACAGAGTCTCGATTTCCGGAATGTCTGTGTGAGCCCAAGAAGAGCTGGGCTGCCAAGCCCACACTCTCCCAAACATTGCAAGCCAGTCTCTCTCCTTTTAAAAAAATACATTAGGAAAAACGCAATGGGATGTACATTTGGGGAAGAAAGTCAGCAGATGCTGTGAGACGGGTGGAAAGTGGATGGATTTGTACAAAACGGCTTACATTCAGAAAAATGCACAAGGAAATACACATTTTTGGCCAATGCTTTAAGCACAAAATCCAGGGATTGCACAGAAATGGGATGGAAGGAATGTGACCGAGGTGTGGCGCCGGATTGCGGGCCCCTTGCTCCCGGCGTGCGCCTTTTCCCGCAAGGACCCGCGCTAAGGCCCTCTACCAGCCCGCAAGGCTCTCCTCCAACCCCACGAGGCACGCGCTGTCCCCTGCCGCAGCTGCTTTGCCCGGAGCTTGTGGGTGGGAAGGGCCCCCCGGCCCCCCGGGGGTCACAGACCCGCACCCTGCAGGCACGCTTGGAGAGCGGGAGGAAGCAGGTGGCGGCTCGAGGAGACCCCCCTGTGCCCCGCGCCGCACCTTCGCCCCGGGAAGAGATGCCCGGCTGCGCAGAGCCGCTGCCACCCTGGCCCAGGGACGCCCCAGCCATCCCTCACCTTGCCTGGCAGCCTCTGTGCCAGGGCCCCCCCCCACCCGGCAGCTTTCCTGGCAGAGGCGGTGGCTGCTCCCAGCCCTCCCCGTTCCTCTCTGGGCAGGGCTCTCCCTCCGCTTGCTTCAGCAACCTGGCCCATCTCCCCCCACTCCACTCCTACCCCCTTGCCACCCCCCACTTGCTAGATCAACCTTGCTGAATAGAGAAAACCTGCAAAAGCCAGGGAGCCACTCAAGGAGCGGGGTGGGGGCTGCTTGGGGGCTGGAGAAGGGGAGGGGGCCGGGGCTCCGGGAGAGCTGGCCTCAGTCATGGGCCTGGCCTTGCCTGCCTGCCATGCACGTTTGGGAAATGTGGCTGGCCACGCTGGGATCCCGCCAGGCCCGGTTCTTGGAGTGGCGGGGGGGGAGGGGGGGGGGATGGCAAGCCCCCCCCCCCGTGTGCCTGCTCACTCAGCCTGGCTTGGCTCCCGCAGGCATGGACGTCATCAACGCGGCCCTCGAGGTGGCGCTGGAAGGCGGCGGCAAGGACCGGTGGACACCCAGCCAGCTCAGCGTGGCCCCCGCCACGCTCACGCTCACGCACCAGCAGGTGAGTGTGGGCCGGGGCGCCCCCCAGGCCAGGCGACAGGGGCCACTCCCCATGCCCCTCGGCCTCGGGGAAGGCCGAGACTCCCCTGCCGGCTGCCGCTGCGGGACGCTTGGCGCCTGGCGCTCCAGGGGGTCCTCACCCGCCCCGCCATGGGGTGACAGAAGGGTGGTGGGGGGCCCCCCATGTGCCTCCGGAGCCCTGACCTGTGCCCGCCGCCCCCAGACGGAGGCCGTGCTGTGCGAGTGCCGCGTGCGCTTCCTCTCCTTCATGGGCATTGGGAAGGATGCCCGCTCCTTCGCCTTCATCATGGCCGCCGCCCCCGGGACCTTCTACTGCCATACGCTCTGGTGCGAGCCCAACGCTGCCGGCCTGAGCGAGGCTGTGCAGGCTGCCTGCATGGTGAGTTGCCGCGTTCTCTGGGGCGGTCCCGGCTGTGGGGGGACTCGCGCTCATCCCCGCGGGGCGGGCTGCAGCGGCCCCCGTGCTCCCGGCTGCCTCCATCCACTGCCCCCTGCCATTTCAGCTCCGCTACCAGAAGTGCTTGGACGCCCGGCCCCAGAGCACCAGCTCCTGCCTGCCGGCCCCCCCTGCCGACTCCGTGGCCCGCCGTGTGGGCTCCACAGTGAAGAGGGGCGTGCAGAGCCTGTTGGGCACCCTCAAGCCCAAGCGCCAGGGGGCCCAGACCCCGTGAGCCTCCGGTGGGCGGCCCGGCAGGGGTCCCTCTCCCTGGTGCGCAGCTCCGCGTGTCCGAGGCCTGCGTGCAGCTGCCCAAGCGGGGGCTGCCACATTCCTCGTGAGCTGCGGGGGGCTCCCGCGACCCCCCCCCCGGTCCGGGTGCCCCCGCCGGCCAGGCGCCTGCCCTCGGCACAAGCATCCTGGCCGCTGGACAGCGCCCTCCGCAGCTGCGCAGGGCGGAGGGGCAGGCGAGGGCTGCCCTCCTGCGGGGACCCCACACCCCCTGCCAGCCAGCCCGGCCAGGACGAGGGGCCTGGGGCTGGGAAGCCGCCCCCGCCCGCGTGCTGTACTGAAACTGCTGAATAAACGCTCTCCCTGCGATGTGGCTCCCTTTGACTGACCTGACGTGGCCGTGGAGGGGGAAGGATCTCCAGGCCCGTGGGGGCATCCCCTGCCCCCGTGGCTGGAGCTGCCAAGGTTCATCACGGCAGCAGCAGCAGGCGAGGTGCCCCGGTGGGGCCAGGCGCTGCCCCCCGTGGCTACTGCGAGGGCAGATGGCGTGCTGGTCACTGGCCCCCTGCAGCCCTGCAGCTGCTTCAGGCAGCGAGCGGGGACTGGTGGAGGCCGCTGGCCGGGCCTGCACCATGAAGGCATCCACCCACGGCGTGAGGGAGCCCCTGGACAGGCTGGGAGAGGGAGGGGCTGGGGGCAGATTGGCACGATGAGCGGGGGAGGGCAAGCCCTCTGCACCCCCATAGTAACAAGATGCTTTCTGGAAGCTGAGTCAGGCTGCCAGCAAAGGGAAGGGAAGGGAAGGGAAAGGGGTCCCCACAGCTCATGCAGGGAGCCCCAACACACACGCTCAGGCAAGCACGAGAGAGGAGAGGCCAGAAGCCCTTTATTGAGAAAAGGGGGGCTTCTGATCCAGAGGGGCAGCCTGACGGGCACACCTGAACCCCAAGGGAGCAGCTGCCAGCTTAACAGGAGGGGGGCTGCAGCAGAGTGTCCTTCCCAGGAGAAGCAGCTGTGGCCGGGCGACCCCAGGAGTGGCACGCGACACACCGGGGGGCCGAGGCAGGCCGGGAAAGGCTGGTGGCCCCTGGCCAAGGGGCCCTCGGCAGGCACTGCACAGGCAGCCACAGGGCAGCCTCGTCTCGGGACCGGCTAGAGCTCAGTGGGTCCCACAAGCCAATGCGGGGCAACAGCAGCCCTTCTGGAGCACAGACCACCATGCCCCCCCCCGCCCTGCCCCCCCTGGCCAGGAGAGGGGCTGCCCCGGCTTGGCAGGGCTCTCTGGATGCTGAAGGCCGGATGGCCTGGAGCGGCCCCACAGCACAAACCAGGCGCCCGGGGCGTTGGGCGGGGAAGGGCGTTGGGAAGCCCCCCCAGCCCCCCAGTGTCATGGCGGGCACGGCCTGCTAGCCCAGGAGAGGCAGGGAGGAGGCCTGCCCACCCCACAGCCTGCCTGGCGGCCGGCGGCCGCTCCCAGAGGCTCTGGGAATGCTCTGGAGCCGGAGGGAGGTGGGCCAGGCCTCCCAGCACTGGCAAGGCTTCTGGCCCACCAGCGCAGCACAGCCCAGGGGGCCACGGGCTCCCCCCGCCACTAGCAGAGCCGCCATCGCCGCCTCCAGGCCTGCAGCTCCGCGAAGGGCGTGTGCCTGGCCTGGTGCGCGCAGAGCGAGGGGTCGTCGGCGCGGCCGGTGCGCAGGTCGCACAGCAAGGCCTCCTTGCAGGGGCCAGTGCAGGGCTCCCGTGGCGGGTGGCCCTTGTACATCAGGAACCAGAAGCGCTGGAAGAGGGGCTCGTCCTCCTGGAAGCGCCGCAGGAGCCGGTCCCAGTCCGCCGGGAAGGCCGCGGGGAAGCCGTACGTTTCCCGGGCCCCGTAGAGGCGCTGCCACCGGGGGCTGGTGCCGGGCACGTTCGCCAGCGTCAGGTTCAGGATGAAGGTCTCGTGGTCCAGCACCTGGTAGGAGCTGCCCGGGTAGATGCCGTCCAGGTGGTAGACCCGGTATCCTGGCGGGGGGGGGGAAATGTGTCAGCAGTGGATGGGGGAGGGGCGCCCTGCCCCCCAGGGCACTGCCTGTTGTGGGGAGAGGCGGGAGGGGGCAACTCACCGGGGTTGAGATTGTAGTAGGTGGTGACGCTGGGGGCCACGAAGGCGATGCCCAGCGGGCGGGAGAGCGTGTCCTGGTCGTAGAACATCTCAAACTGGTCAACATGCGTGTGGCCAAAGAACTGCCCGGCCACGGTGCCCTCGAACCTGCGGGAGCGAGCGAGAACGACCGTGCTGGCCCGAGCGCTCCCCAGCCTTTGCTCTGCGGGGACTCCGAGGCAGAGCCTCCGCCGCTGGGTGCCCGGGCCGGGGGTGGGCACGACGGGAGCAGGACGGGCACAGGGGCCGCGAGGAGCACCCCGAAGCTGCAGCGATAGGCAGCAGAGAGCGCCTGGGGAGGCAGCCACCCCCAGGGAAGAGCGAGGGCCCCTTTAGTTTGCCGGACTCGGAACCAACCAGCACCTCCGCTGGAAATTTGCATTTGAATTTACTTCACAGTATCTGGAGATCATATGCTGGCCGGAGGCCTTTCAAGAAGTGAATCCTGCCCTTGCCACAGGCTGTTTCCCAGGCTGAAGGGAACATCCTGAGCCAAGAACTCGCTTCCCACAGACTGCAGGGCGTGGTGATCCTGCCCCCCATCTGGAGACCACGGGACTCCTCCCGCCCCGGCCGCATTGCCCCGGCGGGGCTGCTGCCATTCTCGGGAGCCCCGGGGCCCTCTGCACGGCCGTGCCAGCCGCCTCCCCCAAGCCAGGCTGCATCCCCCCTGTGCGGGGGCGGGGGGAGGCTCCGTCGGCCCATGGCTCATGTGCCAGGCAGGACACTGGCTGGTTGGCTGGCTGGCAGGTTTGCTGGGGGTGTGGCGCCACCCCCGCTCTGCCCCCCCAGCCGAGAGCAGTGCCCCACGGGAGCCTCTCACCGGTCGATGATGCGGTAGTAGTTCCAGCTCCAGGCGTGCAGGCAGTGCGAGGGCGGGATGTGCCCGATGATGTGGACCTGCGGGCGGGAGGAGCGGCCGGTCAGGCTCCCACGCCAGCCCGCCACAGGGAGGCCCGCCCTGAGCCGGGGGGCCTGGCATGGGGCCGGCTGCACTCACCTTCTCCCCTCTCGCCTCGGCCCCCTGCAGCACCCCCACCAGCCACTGCAGCTGCCCCGCCGGGTCCGTGGAGTTGATCAGCAGCCAGAAGTTGGTTGCGGAGCAAAAGTTCATGTTGAGCGAGACGAGCCGGAGGCCGGGCAGGACCCAGAGGGCGTAGAAGCCGCCCTGCCTGTGGGGAAGAGCCCAGAGAGGCAGCAGGGCTGAGGCGCCCGGGCTCGGACAGGGCCCGCCACCGCCTCGCCACGGCCCCCCTCTCCCCCCACCAGACCGGGTCGCCCTGCTGACCCCGGGCAGCCGCAGCGAAGCCTTGCCAGCACTGCCAGGCCCCCGGAGCAGCCCAGGCCCACTGGGGCAAGACCACCGCGAGCACATGGGGCGGCCAGGAGGGAGCCCGCCACGCAGCCTCTGGCACCGGCGGGCCCCTCCCCAGCCCCGTTCCCCAAAACACGAGCCCCCGGCAGCGCCGGGTCCCGTGCCCTCCTGGATGAGTGGGGGGGGGGTGCTTGCAGAACAGGTCGGGGCCTGGGGAGCCTCGAGCAAAATGCAAGCCAGGCCCCCCCCCAGGCACAGCTGCGGGGAGGGTAGGTGGGCACAGCTGCGCCACAGGAAACCCCCGTGGAAGAAAACTCGTCAGCCTGACCTGAGTGAGCGCAATGCGGTGTACAGGTCACGCCAAAACTGTGCCGTTGGTGCATGCCGTGAAATGGAGCACAGCCAAGGCCAGGGGCGCCCCAGGAAACTTGGAAGGTTATGTGTCCAGAACGAAAACACTTTTTGCTGTCAAAGTATTTTGCACTTCCCAGATAAGCGATTTGGTACAAGTTCACAGTACAATCAGTGCTTGTGGCACCAAGTTCCTTCTGTGTTTCAAGAGGACACCGGAAGGAAACTGATGGAGCCGCTCAAAAGCAGTGCTTGGGAGCAGGCAGCTGCCCCGGCCCACCGGCGGCTCCAGTGCGGATGAGCCGGTCTGGGTGAGGCCTGTGAGTCTTCCTTAATTCAAGGGCTTTCCCGTCCACTCCGCGCCCTGTCGGCCGCCCTCAAACCCCTTTGAACCCACAGTCAATAAACTCAGATTTTCTTGCAAGGGGTCAAGGTTTGCGCATTATTTTCTGTAGAACCATTTTAGGTAGCACGTGCCTTTAGGAGAATCGGCTGCTTTGTGAGACCAGCCATTTTGCCCGGAAGACGAGCCAAAAGGGGAGGGGAAAAGGTGGCGAGCGGCAGAGACCCCGCCGACCGACCATCTAGAGGGGCGAAGACCCTTTCTGCAAGACTGCGATGGAGACTGCGCTGCGGAGCCCCCACAGCCATGGCTGGGCAGCCATTGGTACCCGCCCCCCCGCCTTCAGTGCCAATGATCCTCGCAGGCAGCGAGCCGGGCAGGGAGTGCCCGGTGGCCAGCCGAGCGAGCAGGGCGCCCTGCCTGGCCAGAGAGGGCTGCGGGGCTCTGGGGAAGTCGGCTCCCAGTGGGCGACTGCGCAGGAAAGCCCACTGGCCACCTCACGGCATCAGGGCCCGAGGCGCGCATTAATTGTGGGCAAGGGCAGCCCGAGGCAGGCCAGGCGCTGCAGGGCAGGGCGCGGCCCCGAGCTCAGCGGACTGCCCGCCGCCCGCAAGTGGTGGCCCTTCCCCCCCACCATGATGTGTTCATGGCCCCGCTCCGCAACTCGCCACCCAGGACTGCCTGGGGTGCCCGGTTCCCCCCCTGCCCGGACCAGCCGCCCGTTGCGCCCCTCGAGGGGGAGCAGCAGCCCCTACCTCAGGGTCTGCAGGGCGTCCGGGGGCAGCCACTGCTGCCAGGCGTCGGCCATGGCGGAGTAGAGCCAGGCCGAGGACCGGTTTCCGTGCACGTAGGGCGGCGGGAAGGCGTTGACCGGCACCGACTCGTGGTTGCCCACCGCGGGGTAGACGGGCAGCGGTCCCAGGTACTTCCGGACCAGGCCGGTGATGGTGTGCAGGGCCTGCAGCTGGTCGGCGCGGCTCTGCTCCCAGACATTGTGCGCGGGGATGTCCCCCGTCCAGTAGGCCGCGTCGTAGGGCCCGGTGGACGCCAGGTGCTGCAGCAGGTTCTCCAGCGTGTGGAGGGGCAGGTCGCACTTGCCGTAGGTGCCCCAGTAGCCGGCCCCCGGCCCCCGGGGCTGCCCCCCCCCGGCAGCACAGCGGGTCCTTGCAGGCAGGGTCGCTGCCGGGCAGGTAGCCGCGGTCCCAGTGCAGGTCGGTCAGGAAGAGCACCCGGGCCGTGGGGGTGCCCGGAGGCGGGGGGACGGGGGGCTGCACCGGCGGCTTGGGCGTCTCCGGCAGCGTGACGTTCCAGCTCGCGAAGATGTCCCAGTGGCCGCAGCGAGAGCCCAGCAGGAGGCCGCAGATCTCGGCTGGGCGCAGGACCGAGCGCGCCCAGACGGTCAGCATGTCCCGCTCGAAGAGGCGGATGATCTCACGGCACACCTGGGAGGGCGCCAGGTGCAGCTTCTCGCAGACGCTCACGGCCGTGCGGTGGATGTGCTCCACGCTGGTCTCGAGCTGCAACACATGGGGAGGCGGGCGTGGGAGCGAGCCAGGAGCCGCGGGGGCCGGGGCCGCACTGCCGCCCTCCGGGACGGTGCCAGCACCTCGCGGGGCTTCGGAGGCGCAAAGCGATGCGAAGCCAGCCACAGCGACGGGACCTCTGGGAGCGGGCTGGGGACCCAAGGCCAGCCGGAGCGGGGCCGCCACCTCCTCCTCCTCCTCCGAAGGAGCCCTACACAATGTGGCGGACACACCTCTACTCGGGCTGCCTCGGCTGGTGCAGGCTGAGCAGACACGCAGGAGGGCCCCTGGCACTCGCTGGCCCAGGCCAGTGGGCTGCTGTGAGCCGAAGGGAGGGCGGCTGCCCTCGCCTGGGTGTCCCAGGGGCTGGTGGCTCCACCGGGGGACCCGCAGTGGGGCAAGTGCTGCCCCCCGACTCCACATGCAACCCCAGGTGCCGCAGGCAGCAAACCCTCCCCAGGCACTCGGGCCACTTCAGCCTCCTGAGCAAAGCCTGCCCCAATCGCTCCAGGATGCTAAGCCCCCCGGCCGGGCTGCCTCTCCGCCCCCCGCTGCCTGCCAAGAATCAGCTGCCTGGCCTGAGGGGACAAAGGCTTTCATTCAGCCGCTGATGCTGCTGATGGCACTGCAGGGCTCCATCTGCCACGACTGGACCAGGACCAGGACCAGGCCACCCCCACCCCTCAGAGTTTGCTGGATCCAAAACTGGCTGCTGAACGGGACACAGAGCTCCTCAGCGGCACCCTCTCAGACTGGAGGGAGGCGGCTAGTGGGGCGCCGCAGGGCTCAGTCCGGGGCCCAGCACTCCTCAGCATCTCTATTAGCGGTTTAGATGAGGAACTACAAGAAAAGATAATCAGATCTGCGGATGATACAAAACTGGGTGAAACAGCAGACACTCTAGAAGACAAGAATGAAGATCCAGGGAGATCTTGATAAACTTGAATGCAGAAAGAGATTCACGGGCACAAATGCCAAGTCCTCTGCTCAGGAACAAGAACCCAAAGGCATCAATACAGGATGGGGAATACGTGGCTCAACAGAACTGAAACATATCTGGGAGTACCTGTGGACAACAGGCTAAACATGAGCTAACACTGCAATGCAGCCACTAAAGGGCAAATGCTATTTTGGGATGTGTTAACAGAAGTATTACTCCCGAATCACGAGAAGCAGTAGTTCCTCTGTGCTCCTCACTAGTCAGACCTCACCTGGAACACTGAGTCCAGTTCTGGGCACCAAGATTTTAAAAAGATGCAGGAAAATTAGAAAGAATCCAGCAGAGGGCAACAAAAATGACCCAGGGTTTGGAAACACTGCCCTGTGAGGAGGGACTGAGAGAAGTGGGCATGCTCAGCCTTGAGAAGAGAAGGCTGAGGGGGGACATGATCTCCCTCCAGAAGGACCTCCAAGGCTGCCACAAAGAGGAAGGCCAAGGTCTCTCCTCGCTGATCCCAGAGTGCAGGACACAGAATAAACATTTCAAGTTGCGACAACCCAGATTCAGGCTGGACATCAGGAAGAGCTTCCTCCCTGTCAGAGCAACACGGCAGTGGGACCGGCTGCCTGGAGGTGGTGGGCTCCCCCACATGGGGGACATTCAAGGGGGAACTGGGCAGCCTACTTGGCCCCTTTCCACCCTGCTGTTCCACAACCTCCGGGGAGAGTACGGCCAGGACTGCTGCCACGGCAGCGCAACGGGCCCCGCCGACAGCACCGCGTCCCGGAGCCCACGGTGGTCTCTCGGGGAGGGACGCACAGCATGGGGATGGGCGTAGGGTTCCCTTCCACTCTTGCTTGCTTGGACCATTCTAGGGAGCCAGAAAGGGGGTCTCCCAGCAGGGGGAGAGGCTTGCGGCTCCCTATCCCACCAGGGCCCCCTTGGGCCCCCGCTTTCCGGATCATACGGCTCCTCCAACAGCCACACAGGGCACACCCTCCTGGGGCCGAGGCCAGAGGCAGGGTGCACGCCACACGCCCTGCCACCCGGGCTCAGGGCACCCTCCAGGCCCGGCTGTGCGGAAGGGCCCCCTGCAAAGGAGCAGCACCTCTCCGGGAGATGGCCCCGGGGCCCTTGCCAGGAGCTGCAAAGGGGCTGGGGCAGTTGGTGGCCTCCCGGTATTCCAGGTTCCCAGGCTTGGGCCCAAGAGGGTCGGTACAGGGAGGCAGAGGCATGGCGCCTCCTCAGCAAGAGCCGGCCAGACCGCAGCACCCGGGCGAGGCATGCAGGGAAGGCGTGGCCGAGAGAAGTGGCTTGGGGCAAGCCCTGCCGTGGCAGGTATGCTAGGCAGCCGCGGGGAGCCCACGGCAGGATTCCTCCTGCTGCAGCGCAACACGGGGGTGGAGGGCAGAGGAACCGGCTAGCACCGAGAGGCTGGCAGGTGCCACCGCCCCCACCGTCCGGGAACAGTCACTTCCTGCCAAGCCAGACTGCAAAACAGAGGTGGCCAAGGCCGAGCAGAGGCTGACACAGTGTCCCTTCCTCTTGTGACACAGAATGCCTCCGTGACGAAATGCCTCCGCAACTTGGGCTGCCTGTGGCACTTGGCGGGGCTGCTCTGGATTTGATCGCTGCCCCCTGGATGTCCCCCGCTTTCCCACAGGTACATGGGGGTGCCCATAAGCAGGCAGACAGTGGCAATCACCCCTTGGACTGCCACAAGGCTTCTGACAAAGCCCCACACCAAAGGCCCCTCGGCAGGCACAGAGACGGAAGAAAGTGTGTGTGGGGGGTCCTCTTACAGATCACTACCAGGTTAATGAGCAGAAGGCAGAGGGTGGAAATACCTGGCAGCGTCTCCCAGTGGCGAGAGGCCACCAGTGGAATTCAGTCGGGTTCTGAATTAGGACTACTGCTTTCCACCCTATTCGTAAATTATCTGGAATTGGGAGTAAGTATCATAGAAGCATGGAAGAGCAGAGCTGGAAGGGGCCATGGAGGTCATCAGGTCCAACCTCTGCTGTTGCCGGAGGCCAAGCCACCCCACCCCACCCGGATGGCTGCCCAGTTTCTTTCTGAATGTCTCTCGTGCGGGAGAGCCCCCCACCTCTCCAGTCAGCTGATTCAACTGCCATATTGCTCTGACAGTGAGAACATTTTCCGTGATGTCAAGCCTGAATCTTGGTAGTTGCAGATGGCGGGGGGGGGGGGTGTGAGTGGTGAGGGGGCCAAGTTTGCTGATGACACTAAACCTTTTAAGGTGGATAAATGCATAAGGGATTCTGAGGTGCTCCAAAGGGATCCCTCCAAGATCAGAGAATGGGCATCAGAACAGCACAAGCGGTTCAGTTTAAGCAAGTGCAGAGTAACTCGTGTTGGGGCAACGAATCCCGACGTCCAGGATACCCTGATGGGACCTGAACCGGCAGCGGCTGAGCCAGAGAGGGGTCTTGGGATGGAGGGGGCAGCTCAGCCAAGATGCCGGCCAGCGCGCAGCCGCTGCGAAGGAGGCAAGCGCCAGACGGGCATAATCGGAAGTGGAGGAGAAAAGAGAACCAGTTCTCTTCTGTGCCTCTCGGGGGGACCACGTTCGCAGCGTTGTGCTCCGTTCTGGCGGCCTGGCCTGGAAGGGCATTGCTGAGCACTAAGGGGGCAACGGGAATGATGGGGGGGCTGCAGCCCCCCATGAGGAGGGGCTACGGCAACGGGGGGTGCTCGGTGCAAGAAGACAGGAAGGGGAGACACGCCAGACCGAGCGTTTGAAAGGATGC